AAATTCTTACGAAGACAATCGGCTAGGAAAATAAAACCGGGCGAGCCAAAAATTACCCACCCCCACCTCCCATCACTTTTCTAATGACCCGTCCCTTACAAGTTGTGACTTAAGGATGAGTAAATGGCAATTCACAGTAGTCTCTCTCGTTGGGGAATCTTCCCTGTATAGCGATCAACAGGCTTGTGCTTGTCCAAATCGCTATCGGCAATGCATTCACAATTGCAACAGTTATGTGCCTTTTCCATTGCCTTCGCCAGACTGCCATAATTGGCCTGTTCTGATATCGAGTCTCGATAGCTATACTTAAACACGTGAAGAACCACTCTATAACTAGTGGAACCGTTGTGGTGATCGTAAACGACTGAACCAACTGCAGTACTGTTTTGCCGTCCGTGTAAAAATATTCATGCAAGTGAAGAAAGCCGTTTACGGAGATAACAGCGCTCGCCTCACACAGCATACTCATTATGGCGATGTCTGTTGCTAATCTCTCACGTCGAGGAGTGCGGAAACTTCCCCAAGAAATGCGTCGTCTTTCACAACTCTGATGGTTAATGTAGTCAATCAATACAACGATGCTTCTCTCTATAACCTCTGCAATACCATGGATTATTCCGATCAAAGCCACGGATTTTAAAGTATTCAGATCAACTTGCAAAACTCTTAACATGACAGCCGACCCATAATAGAGCGGCACAAGCAACAGAAACGACGTTCCTGGATGACTTATTCTCCATAAACGCTGCACACAAAGGCGTGATGAACCTTTCAAAACAACCGTTATCAGAGGGGTGAACACAGCAATATAGATTTTACCTGTTTTGTCTTGCTTGTTATACGCTGGATAAATGAAGTAAGAAACCAGTATAGCTACAGTACAAGTCAAAGCGGAAGATCCTATCATCCACAGAAACGTTAGTTTTCTTGTTCCGACGACAGCTCGAAAAAAATGCCTAGCAAGAACCAAGGATTGCACGCCGATACTAAACGAAAATAAAATATTTCCAGGGATTCTTTGCACACGCGTTAACTGTGATGAAGAAATACCGAGGGCCTGGAGAGCAATGCGATAAGCAGCATCTAAAACGTAAAAAAAGATTGATACCAGGAAAAGTTTCCTTTTCAGTCCTATGATTTGATAGGATCTAAAGAAAAATAAAGTATTAGCAAAAAACCAAAGATGATCAAAAATGATTGCTATGCACACAGAAATGGTTTTCGACCACTGGATGTTTGCTGGTACGGATTCCTTCGGTCGAGCCAGGCAAACCAACATGACTTGATAGGCAACATAATACACAAAAATAGAGAACGTTCCAATCAGGGACGCAGCCAATATGGAAATAAGGAAACCAAAGTACATTGAATGCCAAAGTGTACGTATTTTCGAAGGTCTGAATTTCTTCCACTCCATTGCGCTTTTTTCTTGTTCATCCTGTGAGTCATCATGGTCTTCTGTTGAGCAGGCGTCTGTAATGCGTTGAACAGCACTTCTGCGGACTTCTCTGTCACCGTACTCTTGGAAAATAAACTCGTCAACGGGATGACTGTTCCATTCTAAGCCCGTGCTTTCCAGAAGATGAAAACCGAAAGTTTCTGGATCAAACTCGACGCAGTTTGGGTTGTAATGTTCAGCTACACTGCGTGTCAATCCAAAAATTATACTTCCACATACTTCCACGAGAGCACTTCCAACCATTTTTGATGCCGGTCAGATCAAAATATCAAGGCTGATAATAGTATACGATTGAATCCCGCCTAATTATTTACTACCGTAGTTTGAGCAGTTGAGGCGGTTTCACTTAAGGTTTCAAGCAGTTGTAAAGGATGTTTACGATGCAATCACGATGCAAAAAAGGTTTCCAACAATGAACGAAGTAGTTGCTGTCTTTTGAGACAATCTAGTATTTAAAAATACTAGATTGTACATTGAAGTCGGTCACGGAACTTTCTAGTGGACGAGGGTCAGATACTGGTGTGTTTATATAGTTATTGGAAAGCCAGCAAAACCGAAATGAAATGTCAAAATGTCAAAAACTTCTGAAAACTCGTAAGTCTTAAGAACAGCTAGTGATGTGCAATGTGATCGTTTGCTAATTATCTGAGAGTATTTGCTGAGAAAATGTGTCATTTATTCTTCTTTTAAGTGTCATTCATTCTTATAGTAACTTCAAAAACATAGGCAAAAAAATTAAGGCATCTTGCCGTTTCAGCTTCAATCACCTACCATTCACATAAAACGGTATACTGCATGCTTGTTAATAAGAGTATTTATCAATTGTTCTGAACTAGAGATATATGTCTTACTGCGAATGCAATTCACAACAGTAACGATGTTATTTTCATCCGGTATTCTGCACCAAATACAATAAAGGAGGGTTAATAATGACACAAAACAAAATCATCAGACATTTTTTCCAATGTCATATTTAATATCACATCTAACGATATTGTCGAAAAGAATAAGAAGAATACAGAAGTAGCTAGAAGGGAGCCTTATTATGACAAGAAACGAATTACTTCTTTTAACATATTTGACAAGGTATAAAAACAGGATTTTATAGAAACAATGGTGTTGCATCGTATCACAAGAATGTGCCTAAGACAGAAAAAGGATAAAGTAATGATCGATGGATATTTGACCTGACTGTGAATGCTTACGTATTCTTGACCTTGTAAGAATAACTCTTCTAAAAAGATCTCTACTTATTATCAAAGCTTTGGAACTTTTGACTGTGTATGGCAACAATTTCTTTATTTCTAGACACTAGGAGAAACAGTGGAAAGCTTCAATGCTTTAATATTAAGACACTTTGATTCATACAGTTACATACTTTGACGCATATATGTCACTGTTACCTATGTAGCAAGAACCAGTTTTGGATAATGTTTTTTAATTTTTCCATTTCCCCTATTCTCAGATTTGTTATCATGTAACTAAGAACAGTTTTTACAATTATCCTATAGTTTTTAGCCATGTAAATAGTTGATATAATCTTGATTATTTTGTTTTAACTAATTTAATTGTATTTCTCTTTTAAAACAGACGCATTAGCTACGTAAGCTAAATGCTTAGCAAGCTCGTTTCGAGTATAAATAAATAATGTGTATCGGAGCATAAGGTTCAAATATCACTCTTTATAGAATGGATCAGGAATGATAGGACGGATAATTATTCTTGCACTACTAATTTCGGAACAAACTAATATAATCCTTGTTAAAACATTATAATTTCACTTTCTAGTGATAAACTGAGGTAAATATTAAAAACGTTACAGACTTAATGACACTGTATTTCGTTTTCAGAGTCCTGAACTAAGACACGCGGATAAGCTTTGAGTTCCCAAATATAATAGTCCAGTTTCGAGTTCGCTGTGACCGCTGAATTAAAGAAGTGAAGACGCATTTTTTACAGGCTTAGCCTCCATCTGAAGTA